AGGGAGGGAGGGAGGGAGGGAGGGGTAAAGGTGGAGGGAAGGAAAAGGAGAGGGAGTGAGAAGAAAAAATGTTATTGGATACACACAAGTGGACAAACAGATGGATGCAGATAGCTGAGATGATAGATTGGTTAATCCAGAGAGTTAACTGTCAGTTTGTTCAGAGTCACACATAGTCAATTAAAGAAGGGTCTCACTTACTTTCCGTGGATGGGGCAGTAGCTTTTGGTTGCACCAATTAATATTCGGGCTGCCTCTACTCCAAGGGTTCCATCATTACATTGCTTTTCAAAGCTACTCTAAAACAGTTTTTACATTTTAATATTTTGTACTTATAAATATTTATATGTTTACATTTAAATAAAACTTAACAAAGGACGAAAACCTAAGTGCAATGGCTGAGAACTGTGGCTCACACCTGTAATCCCAGCACTTGAAAGGCAGGAGGATCGTCATGAGTTCTAGGCCTGCCTGAACTACAGTGAAATCTTGCTTTAAAAGAAAGAAAAACAAGCATACAAATAACTTACGCTTCTCTTACAGTTTTATTTCATTGTTTTTACATTTGTTTACTATGTGTGTGAGCTCAAGGAGGTCAGAAGACAATGTGTGGGAATTAGTTCCCTCCTCCACTAAGTGGGTCCAGGGGATAGAACTCGGGTCTTCAGACAAGATGACAAGTGCCTTTACCCACTGAGCAGTTGGCTCACCAGCTCCATTGTCTTAATCCTTACATAGCTCACACTATAATTACTAACCCCAGCAGTCAGCCTTGGTACATCATGGGTTCGATCAACTTATCACACTACTAGAAGTTAAATAAGCACCTAGGGAAATCTCATATAAAAGGAACTCAGCATATTCCATTTCCAAAAAGCAGTTTGAGTTGGGTGTGGTGAGACAAACCTGTAATCCCAGCACCTGGGAGGCTGAAACAGAAGAATTACCCATTCGATATCAGCTTGGAATACCTACTGAGACCCTGTCTCAAAAACAAAACAAAAACTTTCAACTATTTAAAGAGTCCTCACAGTGGCAGTTAAACATACTAGTCTTAGAAACACAATGTTTGTGACTTGAATTCAAAGCCTGAGAAATGGAGACTTGGTTTTGTTTACGTTTTGAGAACTCAAGCTATAGCTCAGCTTCACCCTGTACTCCCAGCAATGAGGAAGTGGAGACGGGGTGCCTCAGGCTTGCTGGCCAGCCAGCCTAGTCAAATCAGTGAGCTTCAGATTCAGTAAGATACTGTCTCCAAAAATAAGGTGGAAAGCAACTGAGAAAGACACTCATTATCAACTTCTGGCCTTCACACTTGTAAGTGGAGTTTCTGTCAGCCAGAGCTCCCAAATAAACACACTGGGGCTTATATTAGTTATAAATGCCCAACCAATAGCTCAGGATAACTCTTACACTTAAATGACTAGCTAACGCTTACACTTAAATTAACCCACATTTTTTATCTACACTCTACCATGAGGCTTGGTGCCTTTTCTCAGTATGGCATGCTCATCTCACTTCTTCCTGCGTCTGCTGACTCTTCTGACTCCACCCCTCTTCATGCCATCATTCTCAGTTTGGTTGTCCCATCTATACTTCCTGCCTGGCTACCAGCCAATCAGCTTTTTATTAACCAATGAGAGTAATACAGATTTGCAGCATATAGAAGAATTATTCCACACATGTACACACACACACACACACACACACACACACACACACACACACACACCAAATAAATAAATAAATGTCCGTAACTCAAGGCACTAATTTTGACAGTCAGTAGACTATATCAGAAGACAAAAAGGTTTTCTAATCACCCCCAAACCATAAAGGATTAAAGGCATGTGAGACAAAAAAAAAAATTAGTTTGAATAATACCAACCATTTGTATTATAGCTACATGCAATCTGGCCTCTTCTATTAAAATTTCATCTGTTGGGGACTCTTCTCTTGGACCATGGTGAGTACGGGAAACCTGGACAGTGTGAGTCTGTTTTAAAATCTAAAGAGACAAAGTTAAAAATAAGTAAAACTGGTTAAGACAGGGTAAATACTGTACTTAACAAAGATTTCAGTAACTCACTCAGAATTGCTACAATGATAAGCTTTGTGTAACTTAGGTAATGCTTTGCCCAATGTGTCTTAGTTAAGTTTTCTATTGCTATAAAGAGACACTATGACCACAGCAATTCTTATAAAGGAGAGCATTTAGTTGGGGCTGGCTCACAGTTTTAGAGGTTTAGTCCATTATCTTCATAGCAGGATATAACAGCATGCAGGATGGTGCTGGAGGAGCTGAGAGTTCTACCTTGTACAGGCAACAGGAAGTGAACTGAGACACTGGGTGTAGCTTGAACATCTATGAGGCCTCGAAGCCTGCCTCCATAGTGACACACTTCCCCCATTAAGGCCATACCCACTCCAACAAAGTCACACCCCCTAGTAGTGCCATTGGGGGGGCATTTTCTTTCAAACTACCACAGTATGAAATCACTTGTTTTCTATTGCCATGAAGGAAATATTCCTTTGGGAGATTCAGAAGCCAATTTATCCTTCAAACCTATCTATACTTCATTACTCTACATCAGCCTGTGTTTCTGCTTTTTATAATGCACAGAGAGAGATCTCTCAAGATCTCAACCTGTTGAAAACATCATCTTGGCAGAGGTCATTGCTTGAAATTCAACCAGCCATTCTGACAAACGTCCTTTCTTCTTGTATCTGACAGAAAGGTCAGTCATGAAGACTTTCTTTAGGGACAGAATTCAAAAAAGATGCTTCACCAGGACACCAAAGCTAATAAACTTTTCCCTCTCTTTCCCAGTATTTGGTTACTAGAATCGGCTTTGTGTGTATGAGTATTTACACAGATGTAGGTATGTGTATGTGTGTCTACATGTGTGTATGAGTGTGCGAAGGACAGAGATCAACCTTAGAATAGCCACTTTGTTTTTGTTTTTAGTTTATGTTTCACTAATTAAATTTGTTCTTTGACAATTTTAGACATTCAATTTTTCAGACAGGATCTAACACTGGAAGCAGGAGCTCACAGATTAATCTAGGGTGGCTGTCCTGTGAACTCCAGTGCTCCCCAGCAGGCACCATCACACCAGGCTTTTCTATGTACATGCTGGAAATCAAACGCAGGTCCCAATGCTTGTGTGACAAGTGCTCTACCCATTTAGCTATCTCTCCAACCCCGGAATTGTGTTTTTAATATTGAGTCAAGAAAGACAGGAAGACACAGGGAAGGAAAATAAGACAATCATTGTGTCTATCAACTCACAGGATTGTATTCAATATTTGATTTTTCTTCTACTACATTCCAATTAACATTTGTCAAAATTTTTTCTGTCTTAAATAAAGTTATTGAATTCCGTATAATATGCTGTATGTGTTGAATGGCATTTCGAATGGCCATTTGTCTTGGGAGGGAGAGAGCACACAAACCTGTGATTTAAAAAAAAAAAAATGAAGGCATTAGCATAGTACCCACCCCAGATTTTACCCTTTCCCCTGGTCCCCACTGGTACCAATGATCTTACTTTAGATTTCTCTACAAGATTTGCTTATTTGTTATTTCACTGTTCTCATGTAATTGTATTATGAATAGCTTCAAATTCCTCTTCGATGTTATTAAATGTTTCCATTTGTGATTTTAATGCATCTCCATATATTTTTGTCTTTGAATTCAAATTCCTTTTAGAGATACGCAGCTATAGCAGGACTTGGGAAGTATTTACCAATGTCCATCTCTCCTTCATGCTTTTGCCAAGAGAATCCCTGACTTTTGACTAACAACATGGCCAGCCAGAAAAAATAAAAATGTCCGGGTTCTATAAACCATGCACCTCATGTAATTAAGCTCCAGCCTATGCATTGTGTATAGAAATGATATGTTTATCCTTAAAGAAAAGCAGCTTATCCTCTAGCCTTTACATCCCAACATAGTCTTGCTGGTTGGCTAGACTGTGGACACAAACAGTTTCTCTCAAGTTAGTAAGACTGTGGTAACTAATGGTTTCTACCCTGCAGGCACAAAGGCAACCTATGGAATAGAGAAGCAGTAAGAGAAAGGGAACTTGGGTCTCTGGAAAACCTGGTACAGCAGAATCATCCTATTAGTCTAGACGTGCTGGCAGAAGGGAAAAGACCTGTCCTTTTCAATATTCTATTCATTTGGTTTCTATTAAATTATATGAACCAATATTGCAATTAATGAATTATCTATATATAATCCATTAATGAAAATAAGTCATTTCTAAGCCAATTCCTGCAGTCCATAAGATATGTCTGCACAACCTTCCATTAATATTGTGTTTGCACTTTCTCTCCAATAAACCTCCCAATAATACATAACCTTTACCTAATGTCTTGGCTGATCGAAGCATCATATGTGAATTTATTCCTGTTGTCAATAATGATAGTACTTGTATATAGAATATAAACTAAAAGCAAAACATACAGATGTTAGAGCCAAAATATCAAATACTCTTCCCAGGGGTGAATAATATTCATTTAACCCCCTACATAACTTCTAATTCAATCCATATTTTTAAATTATGTCTCTAATGAGTTAAAGCAAAAGAGTTGTTTTATGGACATTGTTTGGCCATAGTACACTGAGGCAAAAATTAACTTTCAATTTAAATGAGAAAAATGGCTAATCGTGTATATTCTGGGATAAAGACACTGAAAGAGAGACCTTCCCAATGCCTTGGACCAGTTAACCCCTACAATCCCCAGTGCCCTTCACTGAAAACTGAAATTAATAACAATATCTCCTCCAAAACATTTCCCTAAACTGATCAAAGTCATCTGAGGTACTTATCAAACATTCTTACATTCTTACCCCCAGACCCCTGCCCAGAGATCATGACTATAGGTTTGGAGTGCAACCCAGGAGATTTTTAATATCATTCAGACTTGGGAAACACTGTGAAATAATACCCAAATGTTAGTTAACAGTTCCTCAGTTTGAGTTTAGGTCAATTCATTGCATAAGTGAGACTCTGAGAGGCTAAGCTGTTGTTGTACTTTTCCTTTGGGGCACACAAGGACCTTTAGGTCTTTGTGAAACCACAGATTTTCTTCAATTCCAGATTAATTCCCAGACAAGGCCACACACAGATCTAAGTCCGTGGAAAGACCAGGAAGGAGTACATTTCTCTATCAAGAGGAGTGATTCCTCTTTTGGGAATTTAGTCCCTTGAACTTCTTTACTTTGATTTCCCCACATGCAAAATGAAAAGGTTGATAGTTAATCTAAAAAAAAAAAAAAAAAAAAAAAAAAAAAAAAAAAAAAAAAAACCTGAGTGTTTGTACTCCACAGGCCTCTGGGACAGGAAAAGAACAGCAATGAAGAGAAAAATCCCAGGCCATCAATCAGCCATCAGGAGCTCCAGACATTCACTATGTGAACACTGGCTCCACATGATCAACATAAACATTTTTCTGACAATATCCTTTTCTACTGAAAAGAATGTATTTAAAAAAAAAACTAATTCAAAGTTTTAAGATGAGGTATAGTATACTACAAAATCAGTAATAATGAATGAATAAAAGTCATTGCAGCAGATGGCTATTTTCCCTACCATATGTGGTGCCTCTATTTTATGTTCAGAAAAATTATAAATATCAGGAGCCAAGAGTAAGCTAAAAACGCCTCTAATTCCAGACCATGCGATGACAACTCCCCATCGCCAATCATACTCATAACTTGAATGCATCAAAATAGGGCTCACTAAAATAACAGTAAGCAACCTGTGGGCAGAAAAACAGCACAGATAAATGAAACGTACATTATGCAGTAATGTTTTTCATGGTTAAAATCACATACTCAGCACTAAACTTCATTTAAAAGTTTCCAATGAGAAAACAGCAGAGGTTATCAGTAAGTCACCGGAGCTAATCGGAAGTTTGGGTACACTATAGTATGTGCATAGTGGGAGAATTTCCACCCAATATAAGGATTTATCACTAACATTCGTGTATAATTTGCAGTCAGGTAGTAAATCCCTTTATGGATAATCCTCCAAAGCATGCTGACAAGCCCATCTATTCTGTGATAAACCATAAAATGACTGGGAAATTGGAGTTGGAAGAAGTGCTAATCAGACCCTCAAAAAAACAAAATTACTATAGACACATTTATAAACTTAACCAAACAAATTTTTTTCTTTACCTCCTACAAGAATCATACACTAGGCCTGGGGAGGTGGTTCAGTGGTGAAAATACTTGCCAAATAAGTATGGGGACTGGAGTTCAGATCCCTAGAACCCGAGTGAATGCCTGGTGGATGTGGTGGCCCACCTGCGATTCCAGCCTTAGGAGGCAGAGGCAGGAGATTCCCAGAGTAAGCTGTGAGAATAGCTGTACCAATGAGCCCTGGGCTTGACTGAGAAACTCTACCTCCATGAATAAGGTGGAAAGGCAGTCAAAGAGGAGTCTCAAAATCAACCTCAGACCTCTCCCACAAGCATGCATGCACTAGTGTGTGCATGCACACCCCACACACATACACCCACATACATATAAAACATGCATACATAAATGTACCACACACACACACATGAAAATGGGGGGCAGAAAACAATCCTATACTTCAATGTGTTTCTGCTTATATTAAGGTCACTTTTCAATAGGATCTTGCAACAAAATTCAGAATCTAACATTCTTTTCATTGTTTTACTATGTGTATGATGTTTTGCCTGCATGTATGTCTGTGTATCATCTGCATTCCTAGTGACCTCACAGGCCAGAAGAAGGCATTAGATCCTCTGGAGCTAGAGTTACAGTCTGTTGTGAGTTGCCTTGTAGGAACTGAGAGATCCTCCAGGTCCTCTGGAAGAGCAGCCAGTGTCTTCACCTGTGGGCCATCTTTTCTGGGAAATACTCCAGGTCCTCTGGAAGAGCAGCCAGTGTCTTCACCTGTGGGCCATCTTTCCAGCCCCTCAGAATCTACCTTTAGGGAATCTCTACCAAGAGAATATGTATACTGTGCTTCAGATGATTTGGGACAGAAGAGTCCCCAGCACAAGTAAAATCAGACATGTTTTAACCTCAGCAAAAATGCTGTGTTGTGAGGCTGGAGAGATGGCTCAGAGGTTAAAAGCACCAACTGCTCTTCCAGAGGTCCTGAGTTCAATGCCCAGCAACCACATGGTGGCTCACAACCATCCGTTATGAGATCTGGTGCCCTCTTCTGGTGTGCAGATATACATGGAAGCAGAATGTTGTATACATAATAAATAAATAAATAAATAATCTTTAAAAAAAATGCTGTGTTGTATTGACTAGTTAGCTACGTGTCCTCCCAGCTAAGCAAAACACAAACTAGTGTAGATCATTTCCAGCACTTAGCAAAATACAGTCGACAATTACCTGTACACTGTGCACTTAACACAGGCAAACTCTTCTGCCTCACATCCAGAGATTCTGCAAAGTCATTCATAATCTTTTGGGTTCTACTACATAATCTTTCCAAAAACTATTGTGTCTTAGTTAGAGTTACTATTGCTGTGATGAAACACCATGACCAAAAAGCAAGTTGGGGAGGAAAGGGTTTGTTTGGCTTACACTTTAGCATTGCTTGTGTCAAGTTGATACACAAAACCAGTTAGTGCAATGATGCAACTCAAAGTCTTAGAAAAACAAAAACAAGCCAAACCTAGGAGCAGTAGACAGTAAGAAAAAAATAAGAAAAATTAGGGCATAAATTAGTGAAATGTAGCTCCTGCTGATGGCTAGACAGTGAGTGGAAAGTCTGGCAGTCTCTCAGGACATAGCACTAACCTGAGGAAGCTGGATACAGCAGAGTACTGACCAAAGCCACAGTCTAGAAAACAGCCTTCAAAGACACTATCAATTTCTGGTATCAGAACAGAACCCACTAGAGAAGTAGAGAAGATCACTGCACTTGCCATTATCATTGTGATTGGCCAATCACTCCCATCCATTCCCTCAAGGACCAAATTTATATAAGGGAGCTATACTCTCCCCAGTTTTGGGGTTAAAAAGAACAGTATCAAAGTGACTGATTCTGTGTGTGTGTGTGTCTCTGTGTGTCTGTGTCTGTGTCTCTGTGTGTGTGTTTGTGTGTCCATGTATGTCTGCATGTGTTTGTGTGTGTCTGTGTGTTGTGTGTGTATGTGTATGCAACCTAATAATCCTGATCTGACCCCCACTTACATGATTGTATAGAACATAAAGTTATAGAAATAAAGTTTTATTTTTGAGGTACTTTTATTTTTTGTGTAATTCCTAAGTTATTACAGGCATATAGAGAAAAATGGCTTTATATTATACACGTGAGTGTCCAAATCAGAAACTGGCCTGTGTGCCCAGTGGCTATTGTAAAGCATTCACACAGTAGTCCCAGGGTCTCAAAGATGACAAGTATGGCAGAGTGATTTGAGCCCAGGAATATACCTGCACCTACAAATTAAGGTAGGAAGCAAAGACTAACTTGCAGACAAAAGATGGTAGAGAGCTACTGATTGAACAGCCGCGTGTGTACAGTAAGTGTGCGTTAGATGAGGCACAAACTGGACACGCTGTGGGAATTGGTGTGTTAGATTATATGATGGCAATTCCTGAGCTGCGTGACATCTCTTTAAAGTCATAAGACTGGATTCAAAATAGCATCTTATAAAGCAAGGTCCCTTGGCCACTGCCCTATCCAGAAGCCACACTGTCATGAGTCTTTATAGGAGACAGCTATCAGGGGCAGGCAATGGCATTCAGGTAAGGTGCTCATAGAGTCAGATTTTAATCTCAGCTCTGTCCTTACAAGTTGGGTGACCCACTTAGGCAAGCTTCCAAGCTCCCTGCACCCTTTCTCTGTAAACTGATGCAACAGCACCTCTCTTTCGGAGTTGTGTTAATACCAATGGCTTTAGTCCACAGGGCAAGTGCTTAACCAGTGACTTTACCATGGGTACTGATTACCACTCATGATGAGAACTTCAGCAAGAGTAGGGCATGTCATTCATCTTGTCCTGTGTGCTCTAACTTTAACCTTGAGTCAGAGGAACCTGACAATACATAGAACTGTTTTCTTGGTCTCACCTCCACTCAGTAGAATCATCAGTCAAGATAGGACTGGGACTTTGCATTTCTATCGCGCTCAAGGGTGATGAGAGTCCTTTCTGGGAGAAATCTCAAAAAGTCGGCTCACCCGGGGTTGCACAGCATGCCATCGCCAAGGACGAGACAACAGCGCACATTTCCTGAGTGCATAACATTTCCTTCCCTAGACTCCACTGCTTCTGATTCTAACTCTGGGCATAAGAATCTAAGCTCAGGGGCTGGAGGGATGGCTCAGTTGGCAAAGTGCCTGGGGCACAAGAGTGAGGACTTGAGCTGAGTTCAATCCCCAGTGTTCAGGAGGCAGAGACAGAAATATCCCTGGCACCTGCCGGTATGCCAGTCTAGCTGAAGCAGAGATCTCCAGGTTCAGGAAAAGAAAGACTCTGTCTCAAAAAATACAGTAGAGGGTCAGTGGAGGTATCTCAGCAGATGAAGGCACTTGCTGCCAACTGTGAAAACCTGAGTTCAATCCCTAGGACCTATGTGGTGGAAGGAGGAAGTCAACCCCTGCAATTTGTCCTCTGACATCAAAACATGTGAATATATATGTGAGCAGGTGAACACATATAAATAAATAAACAAACACATATTTTTTAAATTGTTAAATAAGATAGAAAGATGTAAAGTAAGACATCCAACATCAGCTTCAGGCCTCCGCATGTGTGCACACACATGCACACATGCATGGACATACACACACGCACACGCACATGCATGCACACCTGAATACATAAATGCTCATATACACAGAAAATGATTTAAGCCCAGCAAAGGAAATGTTAAAATATAATCATTACCTTGCAAAATTCACTGTTACAAATAAGGTGACAGTGAAAACTAGGGAGTGAAATCTGAAATACTTGATTTCTCCACAACCAACAACAATGCCAAAGAAACCATATATTAAATGTTCATATGCAGATGAACACATTATTAAGAACCTAGGATGGATAAAAAGGAAATGACATTTTAATCAATGTACTTTTAAAATATAGTCTTTTTCACATAAAAGTATCTATGCTATGCCTAACCCTGTTGTCTCAGTGGAAACTGTGGCCCCCATCCTAGTTACAGTCAACATGAAAAAGCATTTTGTCAACCTAAGACACCCATGTCATTATCTACATCACACCAAACTCATGGTGCGCCTCTCACAACACAACAGTAAGAACAAAGCATAGAAATAAAGCCCTCCCCAAGTTGGTGATGTACTAATTTCCCTGGGGTTGACCAGCAGTTTGTCTGATACTGGAGCTGCCACTTGCAAGTCCAGAGTGAGAATGGTTGCAAAGAGGCACCTGGGTACCAGAAAACAGCTGAGGATGGTGCAATGCCTCTTCACCACTTCTGCGGTGACTTGCATATTCTCCTCCCATTACTTTGGAAAGCCTCTCTTGTCTGATTTCCATTCTGCTGAATGCCTACACATCTGGGAAACCTGCTTCTTGCCCTGTGTTCTCCATCTAATGCTCTCTGGTTAGCCGTGACCTCTTCTGAGTCTCTGCAGTGCTGATTGCCTGCACCATATGTTAAGCAAGGGAGAGAGATAGATACTCTCAGGTTGCTTCTGAAAAACTTGTGATGCTGGCTTGCTTGAGTCAGGGCCAGATCTGCCCTCTACAGGCAGATCTCAAATCCTGCCTCCCTCTCAGGAACTTCCAGTTGTTCTGCCCCAAAGTCATGAGGGCGCTCAATATCTACACCAGAGAAGAAGCTTCAGGAAGCCCCATTTTAGCTGCGGATAAAGCATGTTATCCGATATAATTAGGACACAATGTGACTCTCCAAGTGATTCTGATCTCCTGATTCAAGCCACTCGAAGCTCCCGTGAAGGAAAGTAGAATGGAGGACCGCAAACCCCAGTGCTCAGTTCTCAGCTGTCACAAAAAATAACGGATGAGTTGAGTATTTTTAAAATATCTCCATAGGGCCTAAAAATGCCTGTGCATATAATAAGACTCCCCAAAATCATAATTTTAGAACACTTATCATTAGTATTTTTTATATAAACAAGTATGCCATTTAATAGTAGCATAGGTTTGTTTTGTTTGTTGGTGTTTGTTTGCTTATTTGTTTTTTGGAAAATGCCTTATTCTCATTGTGTCAGGCTTAAAATTCAACAGCCAAGCCATAGCAGACATGAAAAGATTAGTGGCTTAAGTAAAAGAATAAACAATTGAGGTGCTAGAGAGAGACTGGCTACTCTTCCAGAGGTCCTAAGTTCAATTCCCAGCAACCACATAATGGCTCACAACCATCTGTAATAGCACATGGTGCCTTATTCTGGTGTGTAGGTATACATCAGAGCACTCATACATTAAATATAAATATTTTTTAAAAAAGAATAAACACTTGAGTGGACACAATGAGTAATTGCAATAATGTTGAAGAGCATACCCAAGTTCGGTGGCTGCATCAAGCAATAAGCCTTCTGAAACAGTTAGTTCCAAGCTTCATTCACAAACACATCAAAGTAACAAAAGTTATAGGTGCCAATTTTGTTTCATTTTTACCAAAAAGAAAAAAAATACCATACCGTCCTCTATCACTGGTATTTATTTTTATAGGATAATCTAAACACACACAAAAAAATAGGAAGGAACATTATTTCAAAACAACTTTTACATTGAACAAATTTTCATGAGAAAAATCAAGGTTAGGGTGTATGGTCCACATCTGCTTTCATTTGAGATGAGAATTTCTTTAGTAGAGTGAGACTTGGTGTCTGGATTCTGAACAATTCTGCGATTTAGCATTGTTTCTCAGAGAAGGGCTAATCCATTGGTCTGAGAAGACACTGATCTATGCCCCATCCGTGAGGGAAGCCTGGGTAAGAGTTTTGCTGGTGATGCAACTCACTGTGACTCCTTCCTTCCTTCCTTCCTTCCTTCCTTCCTTCCTCCCTCCCTCCCTCCCTCCCTTCCTTCCTTCCTTCCTTCCTTCCTTCCTTCCTTCCCTTCTGACTTTCTTCTCACATCAGGATGGTGTCACCCAAGTATGACATGAAGGAAAAAACCCACAATTCAAAGTATAACTCTATCACAGAAACATAGAGAAGCCACTGCAGTCTCTGGACCACTGATTCTTTACTCAGAATAAAAATATCAGTAATGCTGATCATTGTTGACACATTAAGACTTTACAGATAGAAAAAAATGTATATATATATGGAATTGTCTTAGCCTCCTTGAAGACACAACTGATTTAGCACCAAAATCCTATGAGATTTATACTGAATATGCAGCAGAAAACTCACTTAGTAATTATGAATTCCATCCTCGGTTTAAAGCTTAACGAATCTAAATTCAGGCCCACCGTGACCAAAGCAACAATGCCCGACATTCCGAAATATTCCACTGGGAAGAGAGAGAGAAAATGCGTTAAAATTAAAAACAATTAAATCTGCGCACTAGTGTGTGCTGAGTAAAGATCATAGGAAAGCTAGAAGTGGTGTTTCTTGTTTAGAATGTCGCTTCAAGGAATTAGCCTAATACTGTAGATCAGGAAATAGGGAAATAGCAAGGTTTCTTCTGTAACGGGCCAGAGGGACCTGTCACCGCTACTTCCCTTAGCTATTATTCTGTAAAAGAAGCCAGAGACAGCATGCAAACAAGCCAACAAAACACTGTGGACTTTCAACTTCGTATCATCTTCATCTCCACGAGATATTTATTTTCTTTTATTCTGTTCTTTTTGCAAAGCTATTTTTAGCGAAGAGCAGTGACCCAGTTTGCCAGCCTTACATCTCACCGAGGCTAGGGTTAGTGGGGAAAGTAGTTAGCTCAGCACCTCGGGGACACTGAGCCGCCTGTATGCAGGAATTGCTGAGGGAACTCACAGCTTCTTGGAGCTTTTGCCCTCCCTTACCCCCCCACCCCCGGCTCCCCAATGCCCGACTAAAGGGTAGTTCACTGGGCTCTAAATATTGAAACCTAGTCTACAAGGTCACTGATTGATGAAGTCTATCTGGAGTCTTCTTACTCAAAAACTTTTTGAGAATGAATATTGCTTTATTCAATTATCATGTCAGGCATTTGACAAACTCTAAGCTTGGCTGCAAAGAGGCAAAACAGAGAGCAAGAGCTGACTATGAGTCCCACTCATGCTCCAGGTGCTCACGATCTGGTTAGGGAGAGGGAAAGATGGAACGGAATCTCTTTTGAAGATAAGGCACCCATCCACATAACTTTGACAGAGGAGGAAAGAAAAGCCGAGGAAACGAACCCTCTGTGAATGTTTTCTCCAGTTTGACTGGCTCAGGGCAATAAGCAACCACTAGGTGGCGATATATTATAAGGAAAACAGTGCTTTTCCGTAACTGGGCGTGTAAAGAGCTCTTAAAATCTGAAATCTTAGTTGGCTGAAGTTGCTCCACTGGATGGGATGAGAGCAAAAGCAGTTCGGTCGTAGTTACTATGGCTCATGGGAACTGTAACACTTCACGTCCCAATTTTGCGGGACTGAGCTAACTGCCCGGCCCCAGCTTCTCCATTCAGAAACACCCTGACCTCTCCCTCTCCTTTCCTGCCTTCTAGATGGAAGGAAAGCTCGGCACTTCAACAGCCTTCTCGGCTTACTAAGTGAGCTGGGAAAGACCTCAGGAGCTTCTCTGCCAACTTTCCCATTTTACAGGTGAGCTGCTCAAGAATCAGAACAGAAACGAACTCCGTGTCCTCGTAGGGATCTGCCAGGGACTGCCTATAGGGTTAGAGAACAGAGCGCAAAGGGGTAAGGGTACCCAGAGGGGGGAGTGCAAAGAGGAAAGACGCGGAGTTTACGATGAGGAGGATACTAAGAGAGGGCAGGAGAGAACTGGAGACCATGGAGAGGAGAAGTCATGTGACAAAACAGAAAGGAGACTGCAAAGAGGCGGAAGTTGTTGTGAAGAAGCATCTGGAGTAAGGAACAGGGCAGAACCAAGATTCATCCATCATACGCTTTCCCGGGGGGACAGCAGGTTTTGCGCTCGTTTGCCTTACCAAGGTAGAAAGTCATGTACACCAGTGAAAAGCAGAGAACAACGTTGGTCAGCGTGTTGCTAAAAAGGTCGGTCAATATAATCCGAATGATTCTTGTACACCAATATCCACAAATTGTGCTTCCAAAGATATCGAAGCTGAGCCCAATGATTACATGTAACTCTAAAAGTAAAAGAAAGGAGAGAAGATGAGAAAGGAAAACTTGAGTTTAGCGTCTGGGAGTTTGCTTGCTTGTTTGTTTGTTTTTCACTGATAGCACTTGGGTTTGTTCTTCAGGCTTGTGAACAGGGTTATTCTTCAGCAGAGAAGAGTGCCAGGCGGAAGTCGGAAAAGGAGGCTTGTCTTTCTGGGACAGTCTACAACTTAACATCAATTTCTCCAGGGATGTAAACAAACTCCCACCCACACTCCTGCCAATCCCATTGAAACCTGGGTCACACACAAAAAGACATTAAGTAGAGGAGCTAGTTGAAAAGAGGATTAATGGGAGTGATAAAGAGGCAAGAGAGCCTGACAGGGTGAATGTAATTGAAATATATTATGTACCTATATGAAAATGCCATAATGAAACCCATTTTATGCATAATTAGTATATGCTAATAAATCATTTCTGAATTGTCTACCCAAATTACCACAGCTCCTTCATTGATAAGCACTGCAAATGCCTTTCTGCTTTCAGGCCTTTCCACCCTCCTCTTGCAGCTGCCACAAATACATTACAAGAGGATATTGACATTTACAAAGTGGAGTCAGCATAGATTGATAAACAATGGTTTACTGGGAAAAAGTAATCACTCACTCAAGGGAGCCAGTCACCAGGTTTGCACCTGAGCAGGAAGGACCCTGAAATCCTTCCCAGTCAGCTCAGCCAGGCAAAAGAGAGCCTCATGAGCCCCCCTCCTTCTTAAACCTGTGTTATGTAACTCTGACCACGCCCAAGCAGGCGTGATCAGCAGTGCCTCTAATCAGGATTTCTCTGTACAGGACAACTTTTCCCTTCATGCTATGATTTGATTTTCCCCTTTCTCCTCTAGCTACTAGTACAACATCTAGAAACCTGTCAAGGAAACATTCCACATTCCAGTGACCATTAGCCACACAAATCCAGCTATTGTCATTCTCAGGGTTGTTCTACCAATACTAGATGAATAGTCTGTTTTCATCATCAAATCTATGACAAGTCAACTCTTAACATCCACTGGCTGAGAAACATAATGATCCTAGCACAAGAGATAGCCTAAGCCAGATGACATAATGTGTATATGTGCGTGCATGCTAGGGGAGAGGAATAAAGGGTTTTATTACTATTATTTTAATTATTTCTTTTCCTTTTTTGAGCTTATAAAATTATATCATTTCCCCCTTCCCTTCCTCTCTCCAGCTCTCTTGTATACACCTGTTTGCATTTCACTAGTCATAAAATGTACACTTCGTGCTGCAGTGATCTGTAAAAATGCAAAGATGGTAATTATTTTCTTGTTATCTAACTTAATCATTTTAATTGGTCCAATAGCAATGTATAGAGAAAGCTACAAAGACAAATGCACTTTCATTTCAACAAGAATAATTTTAGATAATATGTGGGCAAAACACAATGATCTTACCCCTGAACATGGAAACGTTAGGTGTTTGGCCCCGGAAGATGCCGAAGAAAATGCACGTGAAACTACAAATGATCAGTGACTCTCCTCTGATAATGTCAGTGTACATCTTAGAAATGCCTGGGAATGGAAACACAAAGTATAATTCAATGTGGTGCTCCTGCATAGAAAACAGAGGTGAGCTACAACATGCTAGGGGAAAAGAAAAAAAAAGAAAGGAAGGAAGGAAGAAAGAAAGAAGGTGATCATGACTGGCATGAATATGTGAAACAATCACAGACAACATGTTTTAAATTTTGTGCTAAGCCTTCTGACTTTTTGGATGCAAAGGAAGGTAATGGGAGCACCCCTTATGTTGCCCTGACCTAGTTTTATTTCTGTTGCTGTGATTAAAAATAAATCCTGACAAAAAGCAACTTACAAGACAAAGGGTTTATTTTAGTTCACAATTCCAAGCTATAGTCCATCATAACAGGGAAGTCAAGACATCGGGAATTTAGAGCATCCAGTCACATCACACGGGCTATCAAAATCGATGCATGCATACTTACTTGTACTCAGCCGCCTCTGTATATTTATCCCCTGCCTAGGGAATGGTACCACCACACTGGGCTGGGTTTTTCTGTAACAATTAATTCATAATCAAGACAACCACACACACACACACACACACACACACACACACACACACACAGGTGTACAGGCCAACTTTATTAGACAATCCCACATGGGTACTCTCTTCTCAGATGACTCTAGCTTGTGACAAGTTGGCAATTAAAGCCAACTTTTACATGTCCACCACCTCCAATATTTGTTCCATTCCTTTTACTTTCTGTTTGCATATCCATGAATCTGGTTACCTCTATGTATTCACACCTGTGCACATGGACACGACGTGTATGAGGGGCCTGAGGTCGACATTAACTGTCTTCCTCAATCACTGTCCCCCCACATATTGAGGCAAAGTCTCTCACTGACCCCAGTGCGCTCTGTTTCAGCTAGTCTGGTTTGCCATCTTGCTCTAGGGATTCTTGGTCTCTGCTCTCCCCACACAGGGATTACAGGTAAACCACTGCATCTACCTGGCTTTGAAGTGGGTGCCGAATGATCGCAACTACTGTCCTCATGCTTTGTGTGGCAAACGCTTTATCTGCTGAGGCTTCTACCTTCCTTGCCTGAAACATTTTTAAGCTTCTGGACGAGACAGATCTTAGGATACCACATTTAACTTGAATAAACATCAGAGCCCAGAAGAAGCTCATTTTAGGAAAGTGGGAAATAGCCAGGTGTTGTGGCACATGCCTTAAATCCCAGAGCTGGGAGACAGAGGCAGGAGGGTCTCTGTTGAGTTTGAGGCCAGCCTGGTCTATATAGTAGGTGAGTTCCAGAACAGTCAGAACTGCAGACAGAAACCCTGTCTCAGAAGGAAAGGGAAGAGTATAAAATATAAGTGAGCAATTGTACATACATGGATGTTTGTATATGAATGTTTAGCATTATTCGCAACAACTCGGTGGTTTGTCAGCTAATGAGTAAATAAATGCAGGTGGCTATACCCCTCTAGCAGGACAGTATCCCTCCACAGAAAGGAATGCTGATCCAATTGCAGCACAATGAACCCTGAGAACCTTGTAAGTAAAAGGCGCCGGACACAAAAGCCGTGTACACTGGCCTGGTATGGCTGTCATCCTACTCGCCATCATTTCCATTCTCTGAGGCCAACTGTGGTCCCAAAATAGAAAATGAAAATTTTCAGAAATAAACAATCCATGGGTTTTAAAATAGCTAATTACAATATATTGTTTTAATTTTTCTGGTTGGTTATTAGATATTGCTGTTACCTTCTTAATGAGGCTAATTTATAAAGTGAGTTTTCTCATAGATGTGAATCTGTAAGACAAAACATTGTATCTAGGACTCCATATTATATGTAGTCTCAGACGAGTGCTGAGCTTCTTGAAACAGACCATGAGTAAAGAAGGACTATTGCATTGTATGGTTTGTCCAGAGCAGACAAACCCTCAGGCAACAAAATTAGATTAGTAGTTGCCAGGGGATTGGGTAGATCAAATTGCACATCCAAACTTCCATCTGAATGAGAAATCCATATTTGAGAAAGCCTCTGTTTCACCTTGCCTTCAAGATACTGAGTGTAGAAGTCTAACCTGACAGTCCTTTTCTTCTAATGCTCTTTTTAAAAAAAAGAAAAAGTTACTTTGATGTCTTTTGGGTTGTATCTTCATGTTTCTGAAGAGGTTTCTCTAATTGTTATTATATAATAAACATCTTTACCATGTCCTCTGGCTGCTGTTGAGGGTTTTGTTCTGTATTGTTGATTTTCAAGCATTTTATTTTGATTTACTGTGGTATGGTTTTGTTTTTCTTAGACTTGGGGAATTTTTTGGAGGTATTTGAAACTTTGGGTTTTTACCAAATTAAGAGTTTTTTATTCATTATTCATTCATAGATCTTCTCTATCTGCCACCTTTGGGGATTCATATGTTGGGTCCCCTGTGTTTGTCCCACAGCTTATCAAAGCTCAGTTTTTCCCAGTCTGTTTCTCTCATTCATTCTGGATGGTTCCCACCCCTGTGTCTTCAAGTTCATTGGCCCTTTCTTTGCAGAACATTCTTTTCTCCACTAACCCTGTGGTTTGCCTCTCTAGAAATTTTGACTGAGGCCTCTTATGTCTCCCATGTCCAGTGGTATACCAATAAACCAGCTCTCCAGAACTAAAAAGACCACATCTGGGATGGGGATATAGCTAAGATGTAGAGTTTTTGTCTGACATACACAGGGCTTGGTTTCTAGACCCTCTTTTAAAAACAGAGGAAGAGAAATACTGATTTGCAGTGTTTGCCATCTGTAAACACACACTGATTTATATCACTCCCGCCAACATGGTGAACGTTCCTAAGACTCGCCGGACGTTCTGCAAGAAATATGGCAAGCACCAGCCCCATAAAGCAACACAGTACATGAAGGGCAAAGACTCTTTGTATGTCCAGGGAAAGCGGTGTTGTGGCAGGAAACAGAGTGGCTATGGTGGGCAGACTAAACCTATTTTCAAAAAAAAAAAAAAAAAAAAGGCTAAAACTACAAAGAAGATCGTGCAGAGGCTTGAGTATGTTGAGCCCCAACTGCAGATCTAAGAGGATGCTGACAATTAAGAGATGCAAGCATTTTGAACTGGGAGGCGATAAGAAGAGAAAGGGCCAAGTGATCCAGTTCTAAGCTGATCTTGTTACGAAAACAATAAAATCACAATAAAAGAAACTCAAAAAAAAAGCTACTGCCCTGCTCTGATTTCTATTGCTGTGATAAATGCCACAAACACAAGCAACCTGGGGTGGAAGGAGTTCAGTTGGCTTCCACTTCCATATCACAGTCCATCATTGAAGGAATTCGGGGCAGGAACTCAAGCAGGAATGGAGACAGAGGCCATGGAGGAGTGCTGCTTGCTGCTTGATCCCCCTGGCTTGTTCAGTTTCCTTCCTTTTTTTTTTTTAATTTTATATTATTCTTTAGTTTGCTTTCCTATACACCCACGTATTTTAAAAGCAACCGCTAACTCAGGAGGCAGAGGCAGGTGGATCTCTGAATTCAAGGCCAGCCTGGTTTACGTAGTGAGCTTTGAATAAGACAAAGCTACATAGTAAAACCCTGCCTCAAAAAATAAAAGAAAATAAAAGCAATCACTTCATTAAACCATTGGATAAAAACCCAAACTGATCACAGTAAGTGACATCACCATCATCATTACAGAGGAAGCTGGACCTGTCTAATGTTCTTTTTTGCCTTGGGGTTTTGAAACAATAATTGAAAATATATATAGTTGAGGTACTATCACCATCATCATCGTTATTGTTATTCCTAGGATAGTATATCTATAGTTTTTGTTTTAAGGGAACTCTGTTCTCCAGTTTTTAATCTGGATGTGAAGTACTGGAATGTTTCCACATGACCTTGGAATGACTCAAAATCTGATTACGGATTGATACTTAGGTTTATCTCCAGGGACTGTCTTATCTGCCTGCATTGCCTTCAAGTCAGTCATCTATCCTTGAAAAAGCAAAGCGCTAATCCCTAGTCTGTTGAATACATAATCCATGCAAGGAAAATACAGTCCAAAGGAAACAATGTATCTTCACATCTGGGAGGTGAGAAAAGGGAAGCAATGTAGGGAAATACGGTATCCTCACATCTGGGAAGCGAGAGAAAGGAACCAACATACCAATCGTTTTCAGCGAGTTGACGGAATGGAGAGGGTCTATTACGCACAGTGTGATGCTGAAGAGTAAACAGCACTGCAGATCCCATGAATCTTCATTGAATTTCAGAACCACATATGCAATGGTGACAAATGCTGTACCAAAGCTAATCACTCCCGTTAGCAAGACCTGTGAAGCAATTCATCACACAGTGTCACATCTACCCAAAGATGATAAGACTGCATTTACTCAAACTGAAGAACCATATCCTGGGTTACACATTAATTTTTTTGTTTCATTATTTCTAATAATGTAATGTTTTTGTTTATTCTTTGATGACTTCATGCATCCATACAATTATTTTGGTCATATTCACCATTTTATTCTTTTTAAGTTTGTTCTTTTTTCTTTCTCTCTTTCTTTTTTTTAAATGTTATGTGTATGGGTGTTCTACCTGTAAGTATATCGGTAACATGTGTACTACCTGCATGCCTGGTGCCCATGGAGGCCAGAAGAGGGCATCGGATGCCCTGGAACTGATGGTTGTGAGCTGCCATGTGGGTGCTGGGAACCAAACCCATGTCCTCTAGAAGATCAGCCAGTGTCTTAACTCATGAGCCATGGCTCTAGCCATTACTTTATTATTCTTAACTGGCATCAAATTGTACGGAGTTTGAGGATACGATGCACCCAAAGGACTCTAAATCAACACACCACAGATTACTTACTTGTCTATGTCTACTTATGGCTGCACTGCTCACACCCTGCAGGCATGCCCCTAACAGGCAGAACTTTGTAAATTCAAGGCCTGGTCTACAATGGTGAGGTCCAGACCAGCCAAAACTATGTCACTAAAAAACGAATGAATGGGCTGCCCTCCCCCCCAAAAAAAAAATTTAAAAATTAAAATTGAATAATAATGAAAACACTAAGCATCAAAACATGAGATCACATAAAAGGGAAAAACAAGCATTGAATATGCAAAATACCATTAAAATGCTACAATTCATTTTAATTCAAGATGCTAGAAAGAACAGCGTTAAACCAAAATGGGGAAAACGTTCTCTGAAAACACAAATACAATAGTGCAACGAGTGTAGTTAAGGAAAACAAGAAATGATAACTACAATCCCAGCAATTAAAAGAAGACACTGTCTGGGCTGGAGGAATAGCGCAGCCGTTAAAGGCTAGGCTCACAACCAAAAGTACAAGACACCGTCATGATGAAGCCAGGTTAGAACCAGAACCCAGACCCAAATATTTCCCGACCCAACTGTGACTTCCGTTTGCCCATGGGCAAAACTGAGACGTTATTTACTCAGATCCCAAATGGAACAGTCCCTCAGCGAACACTAATTTCCCCCCGACACACCCTGTCCCTCAACTCTTTTTAGATCAGTGCTTCTACAGAGCACTAATTTAAAAATGTGTTACAATGTTTTCTTACCTGCCACAACACATTCTTGACTATGTAAAAGTCCACATCCAGAGAAGCCACAAATACAATTAAAGGTAAAAAATAACAATAAAGTGAAAAACTTGGTGTTTTTAGAAGAGGGTAGACAACCTGGTGCACCTAAAGTAACAAATGCATGGAAAAATCAGTCTGTTACTTGTGGTTGTTTAGAAGTGTACCCCCACCCCCG